TCAACAACAACCTCAATCACAACATCAACAACAACGTCAACCACAACGACAAAAACAACAACAACCACAACATCAACAACAACCACAACAACAACCACGACAACAGCAGGTGAGTTATTTAAAACTTTTCAAATTATTAGAAAAAAATATATGCTGTTGGTATAATGTGCAAATTACAACAATGAATATTCATAATTTGCTAAAACTATTTATAATTTGCAATCATTAGATCATGTATAACGTTTCTGATTAAACTGATCATAAAAATGTAATCAGAGCATCTCAGTTATTATATTTCAAAAAATGTGTTTATTTCTACAACGGATTCATAACAGAGATGTCGGATGAATTATTTTTATACGAGTCGGCATTGAACTGGAGTGCGCAGGGATTCATCTTGGCGAAATATAGTCGGATTGGATAGTCTGTTAGACATTACTATATTATATATAAGAACTATTTCTACTTACTTTCCAATATCACATATTTAACTGGTTTATAAGTATTGGATAATAAAGTAGTTGCTTTTCTCTTTCTTTTTATAGTATGTACTCTATCTTCTCAATCATCCTGGTCACAAACTGCTACCACTATATTTGGCAGCCAAACAGGTACGGGTGGCTCTACCCTATCACTTCTTTCTAATCCAATTGGAATGTACTATGACGGTCCTAACAATATGTTAATCGTCAGCGATTTGGGAAGTCAACGTATTCTACAATTTTCTCTCAATAATCCGCCTTCAATTGCAAAGGTAATTGCTGGAAATAATGGCCAGGGTTGCAACATGAGTCAATTAAATACTAATGTTGGAGTAGTTCTTGATAGTTCTGGTCGATTGTATGTGACAGATGAAGGATGCAGTCGGGTCGTTAGATTTCCATCAAGTTCAAATTCGACGACATCTTCAACACTTATTGGTTCTGTACTTTACGCAACACAAGTATCCATAAACGCAGTAACTGGTGATATCTATGCAGTTAGTTATGGTGATAATGCGATATACAAGTTTGTCGGAGGTAGTGGATCACCACTAGTTGCTGCAGGTATATAAAGTTTTTTCGAAGAAAATTTTTTATCTGACATAGGTTCTACTTTCATATATAGGAGGCAATGGTAATGGAAACGCTTTAAATCAGCTTAACGGTCCAAATGGTGCTTACTATGATTATTTATACACAAATTCTTTGTACGTTGCCGATAGTGGTAATAATCGTATACTGAGATTCGCATCAGGTTCGACGAGTTCAACTTATGGAACAGTTGTCGCTGGAGGTAATGGATCTGGAAGTGGAGCGAACCAGTTGAATAATCCAAGATTTGTAATAGTCGATAGTAGTGGAAATCTTTATATATCTGATGGAGGTAAGAGCAATTCTGAGAAAAGAAAATATACTATAGATTAAATAATCTCCGTTGACTTTTCTTTATATTCAGGTAACAATCGTATTCAACGTTGGCTGAAAAATGTGAGTAGTGGTACTACACTTGTTGGTGGTACACAAGGAACAGCAACGAATCAACTGAACTTCCCTGAAACAGTTCTCTTTGATAAATATGATAACCTATTGGTTTCTGATAGAGGAAATAATCGAATACAATTCTTTGGCCTAGCAACATGCTAGCATATCAAGACTTACTACTGATTATTATCATTAATAGTAAAACTTTAAAAAAGCCGGTTAATGTTTTGACTTTTTCTTGATTTTTCATAAGTGTTCAACCTTTGAACATGTCTCTTTTTTATATGCTATGTTCGCTTGCATATCGCCATCTTTTTTTGTGTTTGTTTTCTCATATTATACTCTGCATATACATAATCTTATATAAATATACATGCTGTCGTTTCTCTTTTGCTATATTTCGTTGGGCTTCATGTCATTGTGATTGTATGTGCATACGTATATATTTAAAATAAAAATGAGAATGATTAATAAAGAAATCTTCTAATGATTAACTGTGAGTTAATCCATAGCATTGAAGCGATATGAGTAATGCAATTATGACCTTTGTCTATAGAAATACAAATGCATTCCTATTGAGGATGTAGATGTGAATATGCGTGAGAATGTCTAGGTGAATGTTAAAGAGGATGTTAGTGTGAGTGTGTCTGTGGATCAGGCTGAGAAAGAGATAGTTGAAACTCATAAGTAACACCTACCCAGGTCAACCAATCCAACGTTGGATCCGATCATCCGATAAGATTTCTGGTAACGGATTTGCATTGGATTCCGTCGAAAAACTTTTCAGTCAATTCCTGCAAATTTTATTAGCGATGTTTTTAGCTATGTTATATTATAGCCTTATGGCCACCTGTCGGATCCATCTATATCCGTCTGTTGGAAACTTTGAAATCCGATGTTGGATTCTATGGGATCCGAACACAATGGAATCCGAAGTGATTCAGTCATTATGAATCCTATGGAATTTTGCCAGATCGTCGGATTCCGATAGAATCTGACATAGGATCCTATCGCATCTGAGTATGGGACTGGTGGACCTGGGATGTTAAAAGAACGCTGATAATTCATTATTTAACAATCTATCTGATTTATTATCTATCATCAGCTGCATTTTCAACTGTAAAACATTTGATAGAAGAAAATAGCTCCTACCTTTTACTTTTTCTATCGTTTTATTTATATCTCGAAATGTATAAAAAACAAAGTCCATAACCAAAATCATATTTTTTCGGCGCTTTCTATAAGCAAACTAAATCCACTGTTGACAATCGGAACACAAAATAGGACTATAAATCATCCAAACCTTTACTCTTAAAATTCCCATAAATTACGACAACTATATATCAACAAAATAGTGTGCAAGAATAATAATAAAATATATAATATAATGTGTTGTATCACCATATTAATCATTTAAAAATATCTTTAGAAAGTATACTTTCAGGGTTTATAATTACTGAATTCGATAATAGTTGTTTGACTATTAGAAACTTTGATGAGTTAAACTACGATCCAATATTTCTCTATCATTACATCGGGTTTCAGCATCATGTTTTTCTTGAAGTTGCTGATAATGTTTCATTCTTTCAAGACGTATGGTGTCTTGCAGGGCTCCGCGAGAGATGGGGTGGGACGTGAAAAGTCATCCCATGGGATAAATATTTTTCAAACTATCCCATGGGATGAGATGATAAATTTTTAAAAGGAATCCCATCCCATGAAATTACATGCTAGTCAAATATCGTTTAAAAATTTTTTTTGTATAACTGGGTGTGGGTGTGGGTATGGGTGACACTGATTCTTGAGTGACATCCACCCAGACTCATCCTCACACCCACCAACCTACACCCACACCACATCCATAGATTCAGCTCGGTTCTTCTAAACCGAACTGTCTGAAAAGTTCAGCTCATTGAAGAGAACTTATTATACAGCTCAGTTCACGTGAACTGAACTGTTCTTATAGACTCAGTTCGTTAAAAGGAACTGTGAGATCAGTTCAGATCGGCAAGCTGAGCTTCTGAAAAAGTGAACAACTCTGAACTAGAACTGGGCTTTGTTGACCCCTAGTTTCATCTGAAGATCGTATAATTAATTATCTATAATAAAAACTGATTGCATTAGTATCAGTTTAAATAATTTTTATTTGGAAAAACGCGGTTAAATGACAGAGTTTTTTGTCTTTTTTGACTGGGAACAAGAATGCCATATTTCGATCCAAGTATAGCATGTTATTAACAAGGCTTCAAGATGCCTAAGAGTTTAAGTATGATAAGGACGACCACCACCACAAGTACAACTACTCCTGCTACTATTCCACCGATGGTGCTTGCCGCAATTCCCGCTCCAACTCCAACTCCCACCTCGATGTCGAGGCCACCGTCGCCACCACCACCACCACTACCTAGAATAGAATAAACATGAATCGTTAGAAGTTAATATTGATACATCACCGTTTTAAAGATTAAAATAGGTAACATTTGAATAAGCTAGTAGTTAGAACACTACGTATGTATCAGCGTCAGTCTTAGTATAGTAATAATATTGACGTTAGGAGTGGTTTGCATCTCACTCACCTTAACCTACATATACATACTACAACCACATTCTCAAGATAGAATTTACTTTTTATTTAAAATCTCACGAATAATAACTGCAGGTCAATCTCAGCAGTTTTCGAAAATAAATGAGTTAAGTAAAAATTTCAAACCTGATTGTTGATATGATGTTGTTGACTCAGTGCTTCTAGACGTCGACGTACCAGTAGAAGCTTTAAAGAAATAAATCGGTTAATCATTCATATGTATTGTTCCTAGGATAATTTACTTACGTGGACATGTACTGTTATCTGCGTACGACAATGGATAACATAATGGTTGACCAAAACAGCTGTTTATTACACAAACAGTGGTATTGTCTGTACATGTTAAATTAGAAGTACATGCACGAAAACTACTTGTTTCTGTTTGTGCTGCGCACATTCCCGTCCCATTAGCTAACTGAAAGCAAATACAATTTGTATTTATCGAACATCCCGATGTATAGCTGCTGCAAGTCTGAGCATAACAAGTTGCATGAACTAAAAAAGAATAAACTGAATTAGGCAATAACGCTGAGATATAATACATTTACCATGTAGAACTGAATTCTTTAGGAAAATATTTATTAGAAACACTATTATTAGTTGAACTTGATTGCTAATCATCTGTGTTGTTTAACTGTATTAAACAGAAGCGAGTTATGGAAGATATATCTATGTGTTTGAGTATTTATATGGATCATAATTTCTCGTTTTTATACTGGCTCTGTTATGTAGGAAAAAACCCTTTTCTGTTTATTTAACCATGGGACAAAAGAAATAA